TTTCTGATATGTTTTCTGTCTTTATAAAGTATAATTGGGCTGTTTTATTTTCCTTTGTTTATATTCTACTTTGGTTTAAGCCATTGTGCTCTTACTTTGGCTATTGTGCTTGGCTGTGCATTTCATCATTTAGTAAACCTGCCATGATGTTGCTGGCTGCGGTTCCCTGCTTCTTGTCTCCGCTGTTGTAGGATGCATCAGGCTCTTGTAAAATCAGCTGGGCAGAGAGCTTCCTCTCTAATTAAACTGTCTTCATCACAAAATCTGGGCAGCACTTTTTGGAGCAGTAATGATTACAGTTATTTACCATTTTCTGATGCTATATGTAACACAGTACCATGTCTGCGGGTTAAACTACATTCAGATACCCTAGGGACTAGGGTATAAACACAGTCCTTTATGGATATACGCACTGTTATGTGGAGAATTGTATTTTGTTGAGCCAAATGAAAGGCAGCCATTTCTTGGGGATCTTTTGACTGACAGCAGTATGGTTTAAGTGTTGTTGCCCTCAGGTGCTCCCCAGAAATTTGTGCTTCAGAGTTTGCTGGTCTTTAATAAAACACTGTGTATTCTAGTACCGGGTGTTTTAGTTGGACAGTAACAAAGCATCAAGACGAGTACAAGATGAATAAGGGTTTTGTGTAACTATGGTTCATGCATCTTTCACCTTCTGTCCTGTTTTGCAATCTTGTAAACATTCAAAATCTATTCAAACGGTTTATGAAATCACTTGTACTACAGCGGATTTCCAACTGTGGGAAGGTGAAATTAAGTTAATAGTGAACAGCGAGGGCTTGAAATACATATTTCAAAATTGGGGAGGGAATTCTTCACTTAAATGTTTTCCGCAAGAGGGTTTTCGTACACACTGTGAGCTTAACTAAAGATTTTATTGCCCTATCCTTGGTAGAGATTGTGTTTTGACTGTGCTTTTTCTTAAACTACATGATTGCTGTAACATCTGCTCTGTTTATATTTGCTTTGGGAGTTTTATATTATTCCATGGCCATGTCTCCATGGCATTCTGCATTCTTTCACTTTTCCTATAACTATCACCACATCAGCCCTGTGTATATTAGAAATCGAACAACTCATTTCACCATTATAAGCTCAAACCAAGGGTATAATCTCAGGCAGCTAGTCTGAAACTTGTTTTAGGACTGCTTAGGAACAGGAAGAGGCCATCACCAAACTGCTGGGAGCATGACATTATCCAAGCTGTCTTGTTAAGCTGCAGCATTAACAGTTCCTTTCACTGGAACTAAGGGGTCGAGCCCAACTCCTGCAAAAACAACC